GCCCAGGCGGGTCTCGAACCCACGGGCCCCGGCAATCCACTCACCTCAGCCTCCCAAAGGTGCGGGATTACAAGCTGAGCCACTGAGCCCAGCTACTAGTATTTCTTTCACATTAAAAATCCTTGTTCAGCCGGTCGAAACTGCGGTGGCCGGGAGCGGCCACTGTACTCCAGTCTGGGCGACAGAGTGAGACTCCAACTCAAAAAAAAAAAAAAAGAAAGAAAGAAATACTAGCATGCTTGAAGGCTGATGGGAATGATCTAGTAGAGGGAAAAGTTAATGAACAAAACAGGTGGAAAATGGCTAAATCTGGGCCCCCGGAACAGGTAAAAAATGGAATCTAGTGTGCAAATGGACAGCCTGCCTTAAATAGCAGACTATAGGAAAGACAGTAGCACAGATGCAGGTGAGTGGATATGATGGTAGGGAGCTTGTGAAATTTTTATTCCTACTTTCTAAGTTTAAAAAGCTGAGAGGATGAGAAAGGTGTTAAACATTTAAGAGAAAAAAATGTGATAGAGAAACGTAGTAGGATTGTATTAAGGCCTATGTGAGGTCATGACTTTTTAAAGATGGCGGTCTTGCTATGCTGCCCAGGCTGAATTGCAATGGCTATTCACAAGTGTGACCATTGTACACTACAGCCTCAGATTCCTGGGCTCAAGTGACCCTCCTGCCTCAATCACCTGAGTAGATGGAACTTTAGGCCCGCACCACCATGCTTGGTTGGCAAGGCCATAACTTAAAAACAGAAACTGAATCTGCATATTTAGTTGCACACGTGCTTAAGTGCAGAGAAGATGGAGTACTGAACAAAAATAGAGTTTAGCCAGGCAAGAATAATGAAGCAAGACATGGACAAGGCAATTTACTGTATAGCCAAGAGTGAGTGTCCCAACAGATCAAGGAATCAAAGCCAGGTAATGAAGGACACAAAGAAATGAAAATTAAAGACAGGTGACAGAATCAATGATGAGTTAACAGTACTATACCCACTCGCTATAACTGTTTTTATGCCTACATATCTGATTACCCTCTAGACTCAAGTCCTACAGAGTGAAATCAGTCTTACCTTTTCTTAGTACTTTAGCACACTGTCATGTGACTCAAGGCAAATTCTACCCCTAAGTCCTGTATTTAAAGTTGCTATTTCCTCAGTGCTCTTTAACACAAGTTCAAGCAAAAAGTTGCAAGCCTTCATCAAAATCTACAGTACAACCAAGTCAAACACAGGATGTGCCTGTAGTCTCAGGTATTTAGGAGGCTGAAGCAACAGGATGGCCTGAGGATAGAGGCCAGGAGTTCGAGGCTGTCGTGTACAATGACACGCCAGGGCACTCCAGCCTAGGCAACATACCAAGATGTTCTCTAAAAATTAACCTCCTGAATAACTGGTGTCTCCCTGCGGGAAACAGATGCAGCTCATAGGACTTGCTGGGATGGCTGAGAAGAGGCTTTGGGCACAGTTTGCTGGGTTGTTTTCTCCTAACGTTTACTTACTGTCTTGGAAAAAAACAAGCTATGGGATAAACAAAGCCTTTGGCATAAGACAAGATGCTGAATTCCTAATTGTTGGATCTAAGAACTGAACCAGAAAATGTACCAACTGTATCCCAAATAAGGTTAAGTTTGCACTTACCGAACATGTGGGTAACATGTAATCTTTGAATTTCCCGGTCTCTATTTCACCTCCTTACAGTAACCTGGCAGGACCCAAAATAACCCTTGACAATAGCAGAGAAAAAAGAACAGACATAAACAAAACTGCATTTGAGGTGGAGGAAAAAAATGCACAAAGAGCGTGTAAAATATGTTTTATTGTCCTTTAAAAGGGTTCAGGGTTTGGTTTTAAATCAGGCTGCACACCTTTTATCAGTCTGACATCTCTGTCACCATGTCAAACTGGCTTCAGCTAGCAATACTTCATTAAATCCAAAAGAAAAATTGTTTTAATTTTGAGGAAAAAAAATCCAGTTCTGAGAACAATTAACATTAGTCTGTAATTTAAAACAAAGTAAGGGCTAATATTTCATGTTGCTTTATACATCCTTCTCAATACAGAACCAGGAATGTAATTTTCCTAACTCAGGCAGGCACTGATACTGGACACTGCACACACACACACACACACACACACACACACACACACACACACACACACACACACCCTCCCCCTAAACAACGAAATTCAGAGTATGTCAAAGGGAAAAGGTTTGTTATACTATTGATCAAAACCCTTGGAGTCAACAGTCTATCTTAGCTTAGCGGTATGCTGCTTAGATCTTGAGTCTATGTAAAAGGAATCTATTGTCATGTTCTGAAATAAAGAATTTGGATAGTACCATCATTTTTTATTTTAAAATTCTAGAAACAATTTCCAAAAGCATTTTGTTTTGTTTTCTGGTATGGGGAAGGAGAGAGTCTACAGATTTGCGTTTAATTAAAAATCAAAGAACTCCGGCAATAGGAAATAGGCAGTTCACATAGCCGGCCAACATCTGAGGTATCATCAGTGTGAGACAAGGTCCTGGGTCCATTCCTACTGGCCTAGCTGATGTTAACAAAATGGGAAGCTTATGGCTCTGCACAGCAAATTCCAGCAGGACAAGGTTACTCTAACTAAGCCTGTATTCAGAGCTTTAGAAGCAGAGCACTATTGAGTATGTAATATTTAGGCGAAAACAGTGCACAAGCCTCTGATGTTACCCTCTACCTGCTTTGTCAATGCAGCCTGGTTATAACTGCCTTCCACAAAGGAGCAGAAAAACAGCTTTTCTAGATCAGCATATCAAACCCAGCAAAGAATCTGCAAAACTGCTACCACACCACTTCACAAAGCAACACAGTCCCTTTGCTACTCATTAGGTTGCTCCATGTTTCTTCTACCCTGTTATAGCCTGTGGACACGTACTCACTAGGCATCATTATTGGTTTTAAACCATCAATTTTTTTTTCTCAAAAAGAACCTAGTAATAACAAGGCAATCCGTGGTTAAACTGAACTGTACATACAGGGGGCAGTTTGGAAAATACCCACTACAAGCATTTCTCAAGTCCAAAATATTATGAATTTGCTGCTACTCCTTTGACCTCTCCTGAAAATTCGGAGTACAAGTAAGTCCTAAAATAAAAAGTTTAAACTACCAGCATTCTCTGACATCATTAGAAGATCAGAGTAATGCCACAGTCCACAATTCTACAGGGTGTAAAAGTATGCCTGGACACATCTTTAGTGATGGCCTAGAGTCCTCTCTTTCAGAAGACAAGTTTCTGGGATATCCACTTAGCTTCAGTGGTTGGGAAAGAGAAGAGTGTGATTCTCATCTAAGTTATTTGAGAAGAGACTCCTCTCAAATGCCGTTTCCCCACTAATTTAGCAAAATAAAAACCAAACAAAAGGCTGTTGGCTACTTTGCCTAATGTTAGATAGGATTTTGAGGAAAAGAAACTAACATGAACACCCCCTCATCAGTAAAGACTAAAAACCACCTGGATCATATAATATATATATGCCACTGCTTTTTTTGTTGTTTTTTTTTTTTTGGTGTTTTTTGTTTTTTTCTAAAAGTGCCCAGGTGGGCTTAAGGCTGCCAGACTGCACACACATCTACAGCAACAAAGGCTTCTTCTATTCCATCTACAACTTGTATCAGGGGAAAGGAAGGAGAGTAGAAGAGAAAGGAAAAGAGGGGAAAAAATATACCCCCTCCCAAAAGAAAATAAAATCCCACCACAGGGAGATCTATGTGCCAAGCATAATGGAAGAGTGTGCTCCCCAAAGAGATGGTTCTGCACAGGCTAATGTTCTGCTGGTTTTCCTTAGAGATCTCTTGAAAAAGTTTAAAAAGACAAAAGATTTTGAAATAATCCAATCCTGGCAGAAACTCACTCCAAAACCAGGAGCAAAATCATCCTTCACTTAATTAATCCCTTTTTTTCTCTCTTTTTCTTTTCTTAAACATTTTATTCATTTTATAGAGGGATTTCTTTTTTTTCCCCAATCATTAGGAGAGTGGTTGAGGACTACTAAATCCATCACTACTTTGATGACACAGGTAAGATTCCAGATTCACATTTCCAGGTACCAAGAGTTTCCTCTAAATGCCACAATCAAGTCAGCCTTCGTTTACATTTCTTTTTACTGAACACAGCAATGCCCATTGGTATCTCTGAAGCGTAATCGCATCTTAGGTCGGTATTTCTCCAAGTAAAGCAGCTGTTTGGAATTAAATGCTCCTCTTCTTTTTCTGAAAACACAAGAATGACAAATTTTATCATGTTAAAAAAAAAAAAAAGCTGTCTGAGTCACTGAAGTGTATTATTTACAGCGAAAGGTCCAACTTCACACAGCTGAAAACCAGCATGTTTCCTATACCAATACTTCTTTTTTTTTTTTTAATTGGAGTCTCACTCAGTTGCCCAGACTGTAGTGTAGTGACCGCTCCCGGTCACCACAGCCTCGACCTGCTGGGTTCCGGCGATCCTTCCACCTCAGCCTTGCAAGTAGCTGGAACTACAGGCGTGCACTACCATGCCCGGCTAATTTTTTTGATTTACTGTAAGATGAGGTCTCGCCAAGTTGCCCAGGTGGGTCTCAAACCTTGTGGGCTCAAGCAATCCACTTACCTCAGCCTCCCAAAGCGCGAGATTATAGGCTGAGCCACTGAGCCCGGCCCCAATACTTTTTTTTTTTTTTTTTTTGAGTTGGAGTCTCACTCTGTCGCCCAGACTGGAGTGCAGTGGCCGCTCCCAGCCACCGTAGCCTCCACCTGCTGGGCTCTGGCGATCCTTCCACCTCAGCCTTCCAAGTAGCCGGAGTTACAGGCATGCGCTACCACGCCCGGCTGATTTTTTGATTTATTGTAGAGATGAGGTCTCGCCAGGTTGCCAAGGTAGGTCTCGAACCCGCGGGCTCAGGCAATCCACTCACCTCAGCCTCCCAAAGGCGTGGGATTACAGAGTGAGCCACCGACCCGGGCTCCAATACTTCTTAAAGAGCTAAATTACATGAACTTTCTGAGCCTTCCTAAAAAAAGGAATTTTCTTTGCTGTCATTATAGTCTATTTATCATTTAATAAAGATCAGAATGGTTTATCCAGAGAAATCTAACAATACTCTTCCAAATTAGAATAATGTATTATTCAGATTAGAATTGGTAGCAAGTATTTAGGATTCTAAAAAAGAAATTAGGATGAAGAAGCAGGCTTGAGATATACACAGATGGCATTCCAGTTACTTCCTAGAGCTGCCACCATACATTTCATGCCCTCTGTCACAAATAACCTTTTACTTCATTTTCTTTCTTTTTATAAAAATAAGTATTGCACCGGGCTCAGTGGCTCAGCCTGTAATCAACCTTGGGAGGCTGAGGTGAGTGGATTGCCTGAGCCCGCAGGTTCGAGACCCGCCTGGGCAACTTGGTGAGACCTCATCTCTACAATAAATCAAAAAATTAGCCAGGTGTGGTAGCGCGTGCCTGTAGTTCCAGCTACTTGGAAGGCTGAGGCAGAAGGATTGCCAGAGCCCAGCAGGTCGAGGTTGCAGTGGCCGGGTGCGGCCACTGCACTCCAGTCTGGGCAACAGAGTGAGACTCCAAAAAAAAAGTATTGCAGGGGAAAGGATAACACAAAAATTGCCAAAAGAATTCTGGACAACAAAATAGCATGGTCTGTTATTCCAGACTGATGCCAACGTTCTGCTTGGGCACTACCATTCTGCACCTGAATATATCACTGAAGAGTTCCAGATGTTCTCTATATTGTTCCTCTATACAGTCTTCTTGCCTCCTGGTCATAGATAGTTGTATTTGGATGGTCTTTGGAATCTTTTAAAAGGAGCACTAGGTCAATAAGACTCTACCTAGCTTTTCTTTTCTTTTTTTTTTTTTTTGAGTCGGAGTCTCACCCTGTCGCCCAGACTGAAGTGCAGTGGTACACTCCTGGCCACCGCAGCCTCGACCTGCTGGGCTCCAGTGATCCTTCCACCTCAGCCTTCCAAGTAGCTGGAACTACAGGCACATGCTACCATGCCTGGCTAGCTACTTAGCTTTTCAAGATTCCTAGATATTCAAATTATTATTATTTTTTTTTCTGAGTTGGAGTCTCACTCTGTCGCCCAGACTGGAGTGCACTGGCCACTCCCAGCCACCGCAGCCTCAAACTGCTGGGCTCCAGTGATCCTTCCAACGCCCGGCTAATTTTTTATTTATTGTAGAGATGAGGTCCCGCCAAGTTGCCCAGGCAGGTCTTGAACCCACGGGCTCAGGCAATCCACTCACCTCAGCCTCCCAAAGAGCTGGGATTACAGGCTGAGCCACCGAGCCCGGCTCAAATTATTTATTGAACATACAGTAAGTCCCCGACATAAGAACCTTCAAGTTGCAAACTTTCAAAGATTCAAACGTGTTCCCAAGTCCAATCATGTATAGAACGCACTCTCAGAACACGTTCATATTTAGGGGACACACTGTATTCTACAATGTCCAAATTTGCTACCCAAATTAGAAAAATCTTTAAACATGGCAGTCAGTAGTATTGAGTCCTTTTATCACTTGCTCTACATTTTCTGCATCTTCAAACAATATCTTAATCCAAAAACAGCAAAGACTACAAATGGATATACATAATTCCTTCCTCGCATATGATCTTGCTTTATGTATTTCTCAACACAAAACTTCATACTCGCTCTTCCCCTAAGTGGCCTGAGGGGACCTGCCAGGATGGTCCACTAATCACTTGACCTGGAGAACCCCACAAAGTAGTGCAAGTTCAGAGGCTCCAATCTTTGCGTTCACTTCAAGAACACCCAAGAAACTGCACAGGCCACCAAGGGCCAGCAAGTAGCTGAAAGATGTCACTTTACAGAAACAGTGTGTACCATTCCGACGCTACAACAGTGGAGTTGGGAGATGTGCTCAGGCCAAACAGTGTGGCTAGACACAGGGCCTGTGGCCCAAAAAGAGTGTTGAAATTTTTCTTCACATGCTTAAAAATGCAGAGAGTAATAAGGAACTTAAGGGCTTATATATAGATTCTATGGTCATTGGGCACATCCAGGTGAACAAAGCCCCCAAGATGCACCACTAGATTTACAGGGCTCATGGTCAGATCAACCCAAACATGCAGATTGTTCCTAAGCCAGAGGAGGAGTTTGCATAGAAGGAAACGATATCCCAGAAGAAACTGAAGACAAAAACTTATGGCACAGGAATAAATTCAGAATAAAATAAAAGGAGTAGAAGTGAAAAAATAAAAAACAGAAAAAGAAAATTTCATACTCACTGTCTTATAAACTGAACTGCATCTTCATACTTCATTCCACATTCAATCAAAGCAAGTGCAACCAGCACAGGCGCCCTGCAGAGGGAAACCCATATGTAAATATCCGTAAGTCTTAAAGACAAAAAAGAAAAAATTATATCCCTAAGTCTTTGGAATTGGAAGGATTTTTAAAAACCATAATTAGGCTGGGCACAGTGGTTCAAGCCTGTAATCCCAGCTTTTTGGGAGGCCAAAGCGAGAGAACTGCCTGAGCAGACGGGTTCAAGACCAGCCTGGGAAACCCGGTGAGACCTCGTCTCTACAATAAATCAAAAAATAAGCCAGCCATGATAGTGCACGCCTGCAGTTTCAGCTACTTGGAAGGCTGAGGTGGAAGGATCGTCTGAGCCCAGCAGGTTGAGGCTGCAGTGGCCGTGAGTGGGCCACTGCACCCTAGGCTGGGCAATAGAGTGAGACTCCAATTCAAAAAAACAATAACAAAAAACCCCAACATAATTATGTATTACCAAAACAAATCATGAGTTTTTCCTTTTCCTGTATAATAACATAGCTGATATTTGCTTATACAGTATAAATATCTCATCATTATAGCTTCTATGATACCTATCTTTAGTAAAGTACTAAATTCTAAGGCTATATTAAAAAATCTTTACTCTTTAAAACAACACATTACATCTCAAATTTTCTTATCATTATATATAATGGGCGCAGTGGCTCAAGCCTGTAATCCCAGCACTTTCGGAGACCAAAGTGAGGGGACTGCCTGAGCCCATAGGTTCTAAGAACAGTCTGGGCAACTTGGTGAGACCTCATCTCTACAATAAATTTTTTAAAAAATTAGCTGGGCATGGTAATCCTTGCCTACAGTTCCAGCTACTACTTGAAGGCTGAGGTGGAAGGATAGCCGGAGCCCAGTCGGTCGACACTGGGGTGGCCATGAGGCATGCCACTGCACTCCAGTCTGGGTAATGGAGTAAGACTCCAACGCAAAAAAAAAAAAAAAAAAATTCTTCACTGGTCTTTAGCAATTATCACAATAAAATAAATGGCCAAAACACATTATGTATGTGCTAGAATTTTCACTACAAATCTGTTTTAATATTTCTTATCAAATGCTTAAAAGGTGCTAGACTTTTTCAAGAAAATCCTTTTTGTGGAGAATGCCAAAGAATTGACATTTAGGAACAGTTCTCTATTTTTAAAATAAAAATCAAACAAAGTAAAGATGTTTTAAAAAGCCAATTACAGGGCACCAACTTTGGGCTATCTAACTAACATAATAACTAAATATACAATTGCCCAAGACAAGTTACAACATTATCTTCAGCCTTCAAGACAAGGACTGAAATGTTAAACCTTATGAATAAACTGTACTACACTAAACTGCAAAAAAGGAAAATAGTAAACAAAAGGGCAAAGCAGAGCTAACAGCCTGAGTCACCACCACCTTGAGGCAATAGCAGCCTGCACTAATGTTTGAGTCAAAGTGCACATCATAAATTGGCATTTAATCTGCTGTTGATGAGAGTGTTACAACACCTTTCCAAGCAATGCTCAGGGAAAAAGAGTTTAAGATCAAAGTCAATTCTTGTCCATCCATCTCCTTTAAAAGTGTAAAGTTCAGTCACCTGCTATCTGACCATTAACTTCCCATTCATCTCAATCCAAAATCAACCATGTATAATGATTTTAATATTCTTGCCCATTTCAATGACTTGAGCCTTTGATTACTTGAAGTAGGAAAAAAAAATAGAACACCCACTAAATTCAGTTTGGCATCAGAATCAGACAACCAGATGAAACACAAAAGGCTGTTTTGAGAAATCATTACCCTAGTCTTTTCTCTCATTTCCTATCCTTTCAGATAATTTAATGCTATTTAGCATAATACATGCAAGTGTCTACCAAAGTGAAATTTTCAACTGGCTTACTGAGGCATGATGATGAGTTCACAGACAAAAGGGTAAGAAGGGTAAGAGCTCACCTTCCCAGTCCTGCCACACAATGCACTGCAACACAGCAACCTGGCTCTTCACGAAATTTGGTTTTTAACAGGTTTAGCCAATCATCTACTATCTGATTAGGGGGTGGAGCTCCATCATCAAATGGCCAATCCTGGAAAGAAATGACCTTCTACATTAAATAGATATTTTCCCCAAGATTAACATCTTAATGTAGAGTAGCTGCCACAACAGTATACATGGCAGGCCTAACTGAACTGTGCTATATTTATTTCACTGCAGAAAAATTATCCACGATCAAAATTAAAGTTTGCCAAATAAGTTAGTCTTCACTTTATTCGCCTACACTTTGTTGTGTAGTCAGTACTGTACACATCTAAATTTAACTTATAGAAATCTCTTTATCTGCGGCATAAGAGGTGGTATTCTCTCCAAGTACTACATCTGAATAGAGTAGAAATTAGACAAAATAGAGAAAACTGTCATTAAAGCCAAGATAAAATGAGAGAAGATACAACTACATGTCAACATGATCTACAAGTCCACTCTGGCTGGATGCAGTGGCTCATGCCGGTAATCCCGACACTGGGAGGAGATGGAAGGACTGCTTGAGACCAGACTGAGCAACACAGTAAGACCCTATCTCTACAAAAACATTCTTAAAATTAGAAAAGCATGGTGATGCATGCCTGTAGTTCTAGCTAATTGGGAGGCTAAGGAAGGAGGATCACTTGAGTCCAGGAGTCTGAGGCTGTAGTAAGCCAAGATCATGCTACTGCACTCCAGCATGGGCAACAAAATGAGACCTGTCTCTAGCCAGGTGCAGTGGCTCAAGTCTGTAATCCCATCACTTTAGGAGGCTGAGGTGAGAGGATTACCTGAGCATAGGGGTTCGAGATCAGCCTGGATAACTTGGTGAAACCTCATCTCTACAATAAATCAAAAAGTTAGCCAAGTGTGGTGTGCATGCCTGTAGTTACAGCTACTTGGAAGGCTGAGGCAGAAGGATTACCTGAACCCAGCAGGTCGAGGCTGCAGTGGCCATGAGTGTGCCACTGCACTCCAGTCTGGGCGACAGAGTAAGAGTACAACTCAACAACAACAAAAAAAATGAGACCCTGTCTCAAAAAATATTTTAAAACAGGCCAGCCATGGTCATGGTGGCTCATGCCTGTAATCCCAGTACTTTGAGAGGCCGGGGTGGGAGGATTGCTTGAGTCCAGGATCAAGCTCAGCCTAGATTACATAGTGAGACCTTGTCTCTACAAAAAAAACAAAAATGAGCTGGGCGTGGTAGCCCACACCTGTAGTCTCAGTTACTTGGGAGGCTGAGGCAGAAGGATCACCTGAGGCCAGGCCAAGGCTGCAGTGAGCCATGATCATGACACTACACTCCAGCATGGGTAAAAGAGTAAGACCCTGACTCAAAAAATATATATACGGTTGGGTGCAATGATTCATGCGCCCAGGACTTTGGGAAGCTGAAGCAGAAGGATTGCCAGAGCCCAGGTCGAGGCTGCAGTAGCCATAATTGTGCAACTGCACTCCAGCCTGGGTAACAAAGTGAGACTCTGACTCAAAATGTGTGTGTGTGGGTGTGTGTGTGTGTATGTGTGTGTAAAAATAAAAGTCCACCCTGGCAAAGTGTTTTTAACTGGTGTCTCACTGGACTCTACAAATATTTTTGAGGATTATCCCCCAGATGACTCTAGGTTACATATTTTCTATAAAGAAAGGCTCACTAATTTTTTTAAAAATCTCCAATAGTTAGTAAATCACAGCAGAAACATACTGCCATTTTGGTGCTTATTAAAAAATTTGTTTAGGTGGACTCTCATTCTGTCACCCAGGTTGGAGTGCAGTGACACACACATGGCCAGCCCAGCACTGACGCTCCGGCGATCCTTCCAAGTAGCCAGGACTACAGGTGTGCACTACCGCACATGGCTAATTTTTTAATTTATTGTAAAGACGAGGTCTCACCAAGTTTCCTAGGCTGGTCTCGAACCTCTGGACTCTGGCAATCATCTCACCTCGGTCTCCCAAAGTGCTGGGATTACAGGCTTGAGCCACCAAACCCAGCCAAACTTTTTTTAAAAAGGACAAGTAGCAAATATTTTTAAAGTGCTGTCTAAATTACACATATCCCATTTAACAAGGACAATGCCATAGGACAGGATCCTGAGCAAACAGAGACCGTTTTCTCAAGTATCTCTTTCTCTTTTTGTATTCATCAATTTGGGCTGTCCTTCAATTAAGACTAACCACATCTGCATTCACAATGCAGGCAGGGGTTTACCTTCCTTGCTACCTAGCAAGAGGTCCTAAGAAAACAACACAAACTGGGGGTGGAGAGGAGCTGGGGATCAACATTTTACAAGCACCTGCCTTCCTCCCATCTAAGCTTCAAAGGCAAAAATGCAAAAACACTGTTGGGAATTTTTAAAACATAATGTTATTCTAATAAAATTGGATAAGGACACTTAGGATACTAGAGAAAGGAAAAGAGAAAAGGCACAGAGTACTAAATTGATTCTGCACTCATTATTGGCACCACAAGAACACTTCGTGTAAGCCCATTAGCCACAACAGCACATTATGTTTGAGTTGTCAACTACACCCCATAACTAAAGAGCTATCAGCTTTATTATAAATTGGCACTACAGAGTTTAACTGTAAATAGCAGTAAAACCAGTACCTTCAAGAGCTTACTTCCTCAAATATTCCCTAAAATGTACCTAGTTAAGAAACAATAATATACAACATGCTTCATTCATTCATACAAGTAGTTTCTATTTTTAAAAAATCATTAATCATTTGGAAACATCTGAACCTCAAACTGATCTAGCTAAAACCACCATTAGTCTATTCCAGTGTTTCTGACTTGCAAGAGGAGTCAAAGGATGATAGGTCTTATTCTGGGGACATCCCCTTACAGCAAAAAGTTCCAAACCCTCTTAACAAAAGTAGATTAACCCCATCTTACAATCTCAATCTGGGAAAAGGAGAGAAATTCCCAGCTTAATGCTAAATGCCCTTGTTTTTCCAAGCTTAAGTTAGACCTTTCATTTTATCTGATCACAGCTATTTAAAACTAAACAAAAATCTAAATTTAAAGGTCTGGAATAAATCCCAAACCTACCATTATCTTCTCATTCAAGTTCTTTAGTTCATTTCTGTTTTAAAATGTGTTTACCAACATTATTGATTCAAACAGACTATGGTCAATCCAAAGTCATTTTCTCACCCTGCCTTCTGTCAAAACAAGTTGATTTCTTTTCTATCCACTGGAGAACATATCCACAACACAGAAAATAAACTTGTATGCAGTTTAATTTCAGAAGTTTAAATTTTGTTTTTAAACACAGGGATGTATTTTACACATGTTTACACTAATCCTCAGTGATTTCCAGCCAGGGAACCGTAAAGTCATTTAAAAATGAGAATGCAACCAACTACTATGCCAAACTATTAAAAACAAATTTTTCAAAAACATAACGTTGGGCTACTTAGTTTTTGTGTTTTTACCAAAATGGAGATGAGGAAACTTTATGGGTTAGATATGAAATGACAGCTCTACCAACAACATTTTTTTTTTCCCTTCATGAACTGCATTTCCAGTCACTGACCAATGTAACAAAGACTATAGGACTATACCTATAGAAATAGGGTCACAACCCTGAACCAATTATCTTCCTAATCACCATCTTTCTACCTAACTACTTAGAAAATCTCCAGTTCTCTTCCTATACTACCTTCTCAAAATCAAATCAAACAGCTTAAAGAAACCTGAAGACTACAAGGTTATTTCATTACATGCTTTTTAAATGCGGGTCCTGGCATTTAGACAACTATTTACAGAAGAAGATATAAAATTTTAACTAATCTCAGGCTCCTGTTTTCTATAAGGAAACAGTATATTTAGGTACTAAAGAAGAACTTAATTTAAAATAATTCCAATCATTTTGTGTTCAAATTGAACTATGAAAGAAATGTAATCATACAAAATCTCAGAAACCTATCAAAAGGTGTCAGCAATTATGCTGATTACTCTGGAGCAAAATGCCTTCTCTCTCTCCTCCTTATACTCTCCCACCTTTTTGCCTCCTACAAGTGATCCACAAAATAAGTAAATAAACTTGTACTTACAAAGTAGCAGAAAATATTTCCATATGGACTTAAAAATGTCTGATGGAGGCCAGGCATGGTGGCTCAAGCCTGTAATCCCAGCACTTTGGGAGGCCAACATGAGAGAACTGACTGAGCCCATAAGTTTGAGAATAGCCTGAGCAACTTGGCAAGACCTCGTCTCTACAATAAATCAAAAAATTAGCTGGGCATGGTAGCTCGTGCCTGTAGTTCCAGCTACTTGGAAGGCTGAAGCAGAAGGATTGCATGAGCCCAGCTGGTTGATGCTGAGATGGCTGTGAGTGTGCCACTGTACTCCAGCCTGGGCAACGGAGTGAGACAACAACTCAAAAAAAAAGTCTGATAGAAATGACTTTCAGTTCTATTCAAACTAATAGTCTAGAAACAAAAGCTAAATGCTGCATGAATTTCCTAAAAAATAAAAAATGCAAGTTTCTATTTTCTTAAAACAAGTGTGTACAAATTTTGCTTTTCATTAGTTAAAAACACTCTGTACTTTGTAGGCTTTTAAGGGCACAAATGAACAAAACTGTCAATTTATTAATCCAAAGGAATTTTAAAAGATTGCTATCTGTAGTGTATCTTCTTTAAAAAGTAAAACTACTAGTGTCAAGTCTTATAAATATCTACGTTTGAAAGGTACTTGTCTGTAGTGAAAAATTAAAACGCTACACACTCACTAGAACGTGGATTCCTTCTTTTTCAACTGGAGCTTTATCATATGTAGCATCACAAACTCGAACCAAAGTTGTCACTCCATACTTCTTAAGTTCCTTTAAAGAAAAACAATTATAAGGGAACTTCTTTTAAAACCTACAGCCAAAGCTTCACAGACGTAGTATTATAAAATGAAACAATAAGATGTCATTCTCACACAAAGATCAAAACTGTTCTCACTGTGGTAAAATATATAATGAACACTCATGCACTCTCAACAGAATGTGAATAAGACATCTTTCTAAAGGGTAATTTAGTAGCATAACACGAAAACTTCAAAAGCTTCACTTTGACCTAGATATTCTACGTCTGGAAATTTAAATAAAATGGGAATTTAAACAAAATAATTAAAGATATACACAAATATTTAGGTAGCAACACGTTCACCACAAAATGTTTGGAACGGTGGAAAATTAGAAACCACATTGGGAATGGTTCAAGAAAATATGGCATATCTATACAGTAAATACAGTAATAGTTATGAAAAGAAAATTAAGGAGAATGACAGGATTTTAAAAAATATATAGTGTGATCCTAACCACATGTATATTTTTAAATACATATAGATATATGCAGAGGAAAACATCTGAAGCCAGGAATTAATAACTAAATATTTTTAAATCATCTTTTTGCTTATCTGTATCTTCTAATTGTTATATAATAAGCACTTGTTGCCTTTTTTTTGTTGTAGTTGTTTTGCCTTTTTTAATTTAAAGAAACAAAAGTAACTTTGAAATGAAGAGAAAAAGTGGTATTATATTAGAAAGTCAGTCAATGCACAATTATAGCCAGAAGCCTTCATCCTTTATAATTCTTCCTACTGTTACTATCTAACCCAGTGACTACTTATCTTCAGTGGGACTCCAACATCTTTTTTATAGGTCCAAGAGGACAGTGGTCTCTGTCACTTTTGGAGTCTATGGCCAAGGAATCCACAAGTTGAAACTAGTATCACGTAATTCAGCCAGGCTTAAAGGTGACTCAAAAACCTGAGGGTATACAGGCCTGGAATTAACTTGTACATTGTATACACAAGTTAAGAAGCTCAGGGAATTTTAAGTACAAATAAGTAGGAACTGTGATACTGCATAAGAAGAGTCTGTCGTTTGGTTATCTAAAAAGTAAAGTTATATTAATTGCTAAAGCACTTTATTTTTCACTTCTGTTCTTGCTATAATACAGACTCAATAAAGTTGGAAGTATTATAATTAAGTCAGGAATTTTTAAAAACAGTTTCAAAATATAAATAAAATCTCACTAAAATGAACTTTGCAGAAGTTATTCACTGAAAAGTTTTAATAAAAATTTTTAAACCGGGCTCGGTGGCTGAGCCTGTAATCCCACGCCTTTGGGAGGCTGAGGTGAGTGGATTGACTGAGCCCGCGGGTTCAAGACCCGCATGGGCAGTGAGACCTCATCTCTACAATAAACCAAAAAATTAGCCGGGCCTGGTAGTGCACGCCTGTAGTTCCAGCTACGTGGAAGGCTGAGGCGGAAGGATCGCCGGAGCCCAGCAAGTCGAGGCTGCGGTGGCTGGGAGTGGCCGCTGCACTCCAGTCTGGGCGACAGAGTGAGACTCCAACTCAAAAAAAAAAAAAAAAATTTTTATGGTAAATATTTGTGACCTTAAGCAAGGCAAAACCTCTTCTGATCTCAGTTTTGTCATCTATAAGATAAGAATCCCTAGGAGTTCATCTACTAAGTCTACTCCATAAATACATACATACATAAATACATCAACAAAACACAACTAAACTGAACCTTGGAATGATTAAAGTTTACATTCAAATGTTTACCCACATCTTTAAAATTAAAAAAAAAAAAAAAAAACCCACAAATGCTTGCCCAAAGAAGTACAAAGTTTCTCTACTACCAATAGAAAAAAGAAAAATTAAGCCAGGTTCGGTGGCTCAGCCTGTAATCCCGCGCCTTGGGAGGCTGAGGTGAGTGGATTGCCTGAGCTCGCGGGTTCGAGACCCGCCTGGGCAATTTGGCGAGACTGCATCTCTACAATAAGTCCAAAAAAAATCAGCTGGGCATGACAGCGCGTGCCTGTAATTCCGGCTACTTGGAAGGCTGAGGCGGAAGGATCACCGGAGCCCAGCAGGTCGTGGCTGCGGTGGCTGGGAGCGGCCACTGCACTCCAGTCTGGGGGACAGAGTGAGACTCCAACTCAAAAAAAAAACAAAAATAAGAATCTGACATATAAATACTACCTATATACCATTTTTTCTTCCACCAAGTTTCTGGACCCTTGCATATGATGATTATTGTTGTTAAGCAGTTTGAGAGTAGCTTCTCATCAAGGGTGGTTAGAACATTTGAAGTATAACATGAGTTTTAGTGTCAGAGACCTGGCAAATACAACAGTTCTACCACATATTATGTGTCATGAGGCAAATTACTAAATGGCTCTGAACCTGTTTCTTCACCTGTAAGAAGGAAATAATGATATCTCACAGGATTTTTGTATTTGTGACCTTAAGCACTGACATTGCTTATTGCAGAATGCATAATATTGCTTACTATGACACTGGGTACCTACTATGTTCAATAAATGTTAATTTTTTAAACACTGAATGTATGATAAAATAACTGTTAATAAGCGTAGAAAAGACACAAGACACAAGAAAAAACATAATACTAATCTTCTAAGTTTCCCCAAATTCCCTAAGTGTTCTTTTAAAAATATGCTATCAACTAATCCAACCCAATTCAAACTAGGATTGGAAGGATGATCATCCATACCAGAAACAAATGACTTTGTTACAAGATATTTTTTATAATGGTATTTTCAATGGCCTGTTACCTAGAAATCAATCCAAAAAGTAGACCATGCTACAGTCTTACCTCTGTGAACTTGTTGAGAGTAGCATTGGTAGGGTTATGAGTTATCAGAAAACGCATGTTCTCATAGGAGATCTCCACAGGGGCTGGACGGTTCATTATGGCAAATAAAAAGTGTGAGCGTGCGTGTGATGGGAAAAGTGGAAAAAAAAAAATCAATAAATCTTGAAATGTTTCACAGCAGAAAACATTTAAAAGACCACTAAAATGCCTATTATCAATCAGTGTTTTCTCTATTCAACTTGTTTATTCCTTATGAAGCTTCTCTCTTCAAGACAAGCAGAAATATTTAGAATCCACTCGAATCCCAATTCAACTTGGGCCTCAATTTCTGCAGATGGATACCTTCGGACTCCAAAAAATCCAACTACATATAAAACTTAAGCAGCCTTTACTACATTTAGGCACTAGTGAGACAAGTTAAAAGTGTGGGTCACTTTCCACTTTTGTTTACTTGATGCTTAATTTTACTGGAGTCATTAAAAGAAATATGCTTGCAGTTTAAAAAAAAAAAAAGCCAACTATTTCTGAGGCCAGTCTCGGTGTCCAGAGTCTTCAAGGCAATGTTAATTATGGCACATAGAACCTCCAAGCTCACTTGTCAGCGAAAATGCTGTGCTGAGCCTGGCAGAAGTCTGCCCTCACGCTCAGAATCGCCATAAATGTGCAACGTATATTCCAACGAAAAACCTGGGAGAGAAAAGAATAAGTAAAATAAGATGCAGGTTGACAGCATAGTAAACACAATGTCTGAAGTAAAAAAATACATTTTTTATAAACCCAAAGCTATGTGAAATGTCACCAATTCTAAATTATTGACCTCTGTGAAGAATTGGATAAAGGGGTATATCAAGAGTTTTACAAATCAGAGACTCAATAGTACATTTGTTTTTTCAAAACTGGGTTCAATAAAGTGTGCTAATAAGGTTTCTTTTAACTCAAATCATGCTTAAATGATTAATTTGTTGTGTTTTTTTTGAGTTGGAGTCTCATTCTATCACCCAGACTGGAGTGCAGTGGCCACTCCTGGCCATCGCAGCCTCGACCTGCTGGACTCCGGTGATCCTTCTGCCTCAGCCTTCATTTATATTATTTCTAAATGGTTAAAAGAAAAAATTTCCCTCCATGGACTCTTTTCATAAAGTTTACAAAGATCTCCTTATTTTTCTGCTTTGATAGTTTGGTCCTTCACATATACTCTTTGCTTAAAGTAAGGTATACCTGCAAATGGGTGGAGGCTATTAACCAACATTCAACTTTAAGGAATATATGCACTGGCCCCCAATTATGACACTAGCTCATAAAGCAGTCTCAAAAACTTATTTCCTTTCCCTCACAACTCTGAGTAGGGAAGAGGATCAGAGAAGTGCAGTGACTTGCCTAAGGTCACACAACAAATTATTGCACTCAAATTCAAATCCAAGGCTTCTGTTAGTCCCGTGTTTTGTCCAGTGTAACACAATGCCTACTACCTCAACTAATGTATAAATCTCATCTTCTCATTTCTAGTCCAGTTTACTTTTTTTACTATTTCTCATATAATTGTCCTAAGAGTACAAAATCATATGATGGTCAGGGATTCACACAGCATTCTCCTCCCCAAATATTAATTCCTACTAAGGCAAGAAAAAGAAGTGGCAGAATTTTTTATATTATTTTAGGCCTGCCTCTTTGAAACACAGTAATCTTGAGAGCTGGCTCAGTTAGAGAATGTCAACATAATCATAAATTCCTCTGGAAACAGGGACAAGGCCTAAGTTCCTTCATTTGCATTTTCTCTAAGTTACAAATAAGTGCTTATTTATAATTCTCTTAAAAAGATAACTGTGGCTGCGAGCATGTCACTGCACTCCAGCCTGGACAACAGAGTGAGACTCTGACTCAAAAAAAAAAAAAGATAACTGTGACCAGATACAAAGTCATGAAAAATGACTACAGAACCATTTTCAAGAGGAAAGTGAAATATATGATAACCTAGGCCTACACATTTTCAAACTATTTGCCTATTCTCAAGTCTTTTACATGATACTCCTATGGCATTTTTTTTTCTTTTTGAGTTGGAGTCTCACTCTGTTGCCCAGACTGGAGTGCAGTGGCGCTCCCAGCCACCGCAGTCTCGACCTGCTGGGCTCCGGCGATCCTTCCACCTCAGTCTTTCAAGTAGCTGGTACAGGCGCGCGCTACCACGCCCGGCTAATTTTTGATTTATTGTAGAGATGAGGTATCGCCAAGTACCCCAGGCGGGTCTCGAACCCGCGGGTTCAGACAATCCACTCACCTCGGCCTCGCAAAGCGCGGGATTACAGGCTGAGCCACCGAGCCCGGCCAGCATTTTATTTTAACTACATACCTATGCTTATATAACCATGGACACAAACAAAACCAAACTATGAGAGATACATATGAAATTCAAAATGGCATTCCAAAAATTTCACTACTACTACCACTGAATGAGTTACGCACTACAGCAAAAACACAAAACTTCTATATTCAAAACTAGGAAAAACAGAAATGCCATCACTTTTCCTACCTCATAATTCTTTTTTTTTTTGACATCGGAGTCTCACTCCGACACCCAGACTGGAGTGCAGTGGCACGCTCCCAGCTACTGCAGCCTCGACCTGCTGGGCTCCAGTGATCCTTCTGCCTCAGTCTTCCAAGTAGCTGGAACTACAGGTGCGCACTACCACACCTGGCTAATTTTTTTGATTTATTGTAGAGATGAGGTCTCGCCAAGTTGCCCAGGCGGGTCTCGAACCCGTGGGCTCAGGCAATTCACTCACCTCGGCCTCCCAAAGCACGGGATTACAGGCTGAGCCACCAAGCCCGGCAGTGTACCTCATAATTCTAACTGTAACCCCAAAACTTGGCCACCTCAGATTAAACAAGAAAAACATTTCATGGAGTATTCCTTGTACAGTCAAGGAATTTTAGAGCTAGAAGAAACTTGGAAATCAACTACTATGACCTCTTAAAAAAATTAAAAAAAATAAAAATATGTTTGGGGTTCAGAGAGGTTAAAATAACTAAGACCACAATGCTAATTAGAGGTAGATGAAGGACAAGAATCCAGGTCTTCTAACTATCTGGTTAACTTTCCTTCAATTTTGGAGGTACCCACATATTTTTCAAGTCATAATCTTTTCCACACAAGTGTAACTTTTCTTTAAATATCTGCTTGGATGTTCATTTGCAACTGTGTGACCTTAAAACGGGGAGAGGGACAGAGATTATTAAAGTAACTACTCAAAGAACAAAGGTTTGCATGCAGTGCAAAGCAAAACACTACGAAATTCTAACCTATTTGAATCCCTTTGGTTCAAAGATGTTATCACACCAAATGTGTGTCAGCTGAGTAAAGGCAGTGAAAGACCTGCATTGTAGTGACAGCCAGGCTTAAAGGTTACAGCTCTAACATTAAGTTTTCTACCTAGTCTCCAGTGTTTGTCTGCTCAACAAACAAAATAAGCTTTATCCCATCTTATTTCTCCAACCTCCTTTTGGAAAGACCATTTCCAGGAATACAGACAATTCATTATTAGATTTTCAATTCTTAATACTGAGAACCCCAGCAAAGGAATTTCTGCCAAAAGAAACAGTATGTTCTATCACTGTTAACAGACACATGATAAGCAAGCTTCTGTTCCCTCCCCCTCCCCAAAGAGTTCAACTACACAGACAGTTACATTCTTGCACCTGTCAATTCAGATAAACATACGTTAACTCCTGTGGCACATTTAAGAATGCAAAGCAAACAGCCTGTAAAAAAAAATCATAAACAACCTATCACAGCTGTAAAGTACTCAGAAGTTGCAGAGACCTATATTTTAGCATAAATTCAAGACATGTACATAATACTGGAAAAATTCCTCCAGAAGTTGTCTCTGACATTAATTCTGGGCCTAGCTCAGTGGCTCAGCCTGTAATCCCAGCACTCTGGGAGGCCAAGGCGAGTGGACTGCCTAAGTCCGCAGGTTCAAGACCAGTCCGGGCAACTTGGCAAGCTCTCATCTCTACAATAAATTAAAAAACTTAGCTGGGTGTGGTAGTGCCCACCTGTAGTTCTGGCTACTTGGAAGGCTGAGGCATAAGGATCGCTGAAGTCCAGCAGGTCGATGCTGGGATGGCCATGAGTGTGCCACTGCACTCCAGCCTGGGTGACAGAGTGAGACTCTAACTCAAAAGAAAAAAAAAGACATTAATTCTGCTCTATCTACTTAAGCAAAAATTGATCATTGTTTTAATTTGCCAGGTGACAGAAGAAGCTAGTTTACTTGACATGTAACAGTGGTCAAATATGCACCCAAATATTCTCTCTACCGCTTAACGTTATCTTTTATAGAATCAACTTTTAAATTGTTAAATTCGTGATATTTCCCTTTCCTAGACAACATTTCAATTTTTAAAAGAATATAACTTCACTGAAGGATCAGAAGAGATGATCCTTTTAAGTTAAGAAGGGGAAGGAAGGCTGGGTGGCTCACGCTTGTAATTTCAACACTTTGGGAGGCTGAAGCAAAAGGACTGCCTAAACCCAGAGGTTCAAGACCAGTTTGGGCAACAGGAGACCTTATCTCTACAATAAATCAAAAAATTAGCCAGGTGTGGTGGTATGTGGCTTTATCCCCTGTCCCTCCCTCACCTTTTTTTTTTTTTTTTATGTTGGGGTCTCACTCTGTTACCCAGAGTGGCACACTCACAGCCAACCCAGCATCAACCTGCTGGGCTCCAGCGATCCTTCTGCCTCAGTCTTCCAAGGAGCTGGAACTACAGGTGTGCACTACCACGCCGGCTAATTTTTGATTTATCGTAGAGACGAGGTCTCACCAAGTTACCCGGGCTGGTCTTGAACCCGTGGGCTCAGGCAATCCACTTGCATCAGCCTCCCAAAGTGCTGGGATTACAGGGTGAGCCACCGAGCCTGGCCTTTTAATTTTTTTTTAGTGAGGTGTCCCTCTGTCACCGAGGTTGAAACGCAGTGGTGTGATCAAAGTTCACTGCAGCCTTGAACTCCTGGGCTTAAATGATCTTCTTACCTCAGTCTCCCAAGTAGCCACAGGCATGCACCACAATGCCTGGCTAATTTTTTTTTTTTGGTAGAGATGGGGAGGGGCTCTCACTATGATGCCCAGGCTGATCCTGAAATCCTGGCCTCAAGTCTCCCAAAGTGCAAGGATTACAGGAGTAAACCAAGGCATATTTTTAAAATGGAAAACTATGCAGAGGTTAAAAAGAATAAAACAAATCTATATGAACTGATATGGAAAGACAGCTAAAAGACACTAACAAATGAAAAAAGCAAGGTACATGACAGTACAAACAATATGCTTAGAAATATTTGTAGGCCGGGCTTGGTGGCTCAGCCTGTAATCCCAGCACTTTGGGAGGCTGAGATGAGTGGACTGCCTGAGCCCGCGGGTTCAAGACCCACCTGGGCAACTTGAGGAGACCTCATCTCTACAATAAATAAAAACTAGCCGGGTGTGGTAGCGCGCGCCTGTGGTTCCAGCTACTTGGAAGGCTGAGGCGGAAGGATCGCCAGAGCCCAGCAGGCCGAGGCTGCAGTGGCTGGAAGCAGCCACTGCACTCCAGTCTGGGTGACAGAGTAAGACTCCAACTCAAAAAAAAATAAAAATACTTGTAGCTGGGTGCAGTGGCTCACACCTGTAATCCCAGCACTTTGGGAGACTGAGGCGAGA